CGCTCGCCGCCGCCGCGCTCGGGGGCGGCTGCCCCCGGCCCAGCCTCCATCTGCAGCCCGGCGGCGGCGGCGGCGGCGGGAACATGGCGGACCTGGAGGCGGTGCTGGCCGATGTGAGCTACCTGATGGCGATGGAGAAGAGCAAGAGCACGCCGGCCGCCAGGGCCAGCAAGAAGATCAGCCTGCCCGAGCCCAGGTACCGGCGCGGCCCCGGCCCGCGCGGCGCCGCCGCCGCTAACGGCCCCCGGCGCCAGGTGCGGCTGAGCGACCGGCGGCGCCGCGCGGGCCCCGCTCGCGCGGGCGGCTGGGGGCGGCGCGGGAGCCGCCGTGTCCCCCGGGAGCCCCTGGCGCCCCGCGGCCCCGGCGGGAAGAGCTGAGCGCGGAACGGGTGGTCTGGTGCTCGGGCTGCCGCCTTGCGCGGCGCTCGCCCCGGGGGGTTGCCTGGTTTGAGTCACTCCATGTTTTGGGTGCTTCGTGCAGGCAGTCGGGAGCAGCGCCGGCTCTGCAGCCCTGGGGGGACGCGGCCGGGGCCTTGGGGCCACCGGCAAGGCCACCGAGCCCCGCGCTGCCCTTCGGTGACAGAGCTGGCTCTAGGTGCTGGTGCCCGCGTGCGGTAAAGCGGGTTGGGAATTGCCCATGCTCCCTGTTTATTCCCGGGCTCCAAAGGCAGCGCTCCCCATCGCACAGCGGGTACCGGCAGGTGCTGCCCCAAGGCGCCGCGGGGCGGGGAGCGGAGCGGGGCGGCTCGGCCCTGGAGCCCGGCCGGGTCCCCTTGCCTGGGAGCTTCAGGCGACTCCCAGCACTGCAGGAATTTGCCCGGAGATGCTGCGTCCGTAAGGTCCAGCCTGCGCCTCACGTGAGGCGGCAGCGCTGCCTGCGCCCGGGGTGTGCGGCCCTCGGGGACGCGACGCGCGGCGGCCCCTCGCCCGCGCCAACGGCGGGACCCGTGCGGGGCCGGCGGGACCCGTGCGGGGTCGGCGGGACCCGTGCGGGTCTGGCGGGCCAGGGCTGGCGGGCCGGTGCCGTGGGCAGGTGCCCCCGCGGCGGCGGTGCCCATGACCAGGCCCACGCGGCTGTCGCGCTCTGCCCCTCCGCGGCTCCCGTTCCTGGCGGTTGGTGGCCCTGGCAGCAGCGCGAGCGGCCGCTCGGCCTTCGGCACCGCGCGACGGGGCCTCGGCTGCGGCCGGCGCGTGCCCCCGGGGCTGGCGGTTCCCGCGCTCGTCGGGGAAGAGCCTCCTCGTGGGTTATATCGAACAGCGAAGCAAAACCGCTTGCGGTGCCCTCGTGGATCGGCAGGGACGAGGAGCGGGGCAGAGCCGAGCAGGCCCGGCAGAGCGGGGAGCACGCGGGGCACGGGCCGGAGCAGGGCTTGCCTAGCCCAGCACCACGAATGGCCCTGCAGCGCTGGAAGGGGCTGAGCTTGGCAGTTCTTAACTGAAACCAGGGGTTTCCGCGTGCAGGAGGAAATTGTGACCCTTGTGCTGGTGTCAGATGCCTTCGGTTGGTTTCTGTGTTATTTTTATTCCAGCTCCTCTCGCTGAATGCAGTGGTGCACTGGCAGAACTGATGTGTCGTGTGCGAGCTGGGTAAATGCCGGTGGGTAGGCTAATACGATGTGTTAACGCTAGCACTAAAGAGGGCAGGTTTTGGCGTGAGGTGTCACCGAGGGGGAGCAGCCGCGGCGCTCCCCGGCACGGGACCACGCGGGTTTGCCGCGCTCGCTGCAGTCGGCCCTCTCGCTGCTGCTCCTGGACCCCTTGTCGGTGGTTTCATCGCTGCGAGATAAGAGTGACACCGAACGGAGCAAGTGAGTTGCAAATGAAAATTTGAGGGGGCTTCCTGTTTATGAGGAAATAACTGTAGTGGAGGCAGAGGAGATTCCAAGGCTGCAGGCCAAGGCTTAGCAGCAAATAAACCCTGAGGGCGAAGAGTTTATTGGCCAAGGGTCTGGTTATTGCTGAGTTTACGTGCGGTGTCCTCAGGCTCGTTCTGTGCTGGAACTGTTAAATATTGCAGTTTGGAAGGGAAGAAGACAGGGAAGGCTAAGGAGACGAGAGAGCCTGAGGAAAACGTGTAGTGTGTTCTTGAAAGAGCAAAACAAAACAAGCTTCTCTGCAGCTCCTGTCATCTGCTTCTGCTTCCCTCCTGCTTCCTCCCCTCGTTCCGGAGAGCCGTGCGGAGAAGCAGGAAAGCTGCAGTGTTTTTGCACTGTGATGTTGTTCCTTGAAGGACTGCTCTGCACGCAGATGGGCAGGAGGACTGCACAGAAATAGGGCCTAAATGGGGAAGGAAGGCATGCATACACTGAAATATGAGCAAACTTAAAACCACTATATTTTTCTGCAGAATTACTCTGAAATACTGTAGGAATTTGGGAGAAATAGAGCAAATGAGCTGCACTTGTAACTTCTTAGGCTATTCAGTAGCCTGTTTTTTCCCTTTTCCATGTAAATTTTAATTTGCCTTACTGTGGTCGAAGGGAATGAAAAAAAGCTCAGCTTTTAAAATTTTTATTTGCAAACAGCTACTCGGTTCTGGTAAAGGATTTGAGTAAAGGATTTGCATAATAAAATAGAGAAAATAGCTGTGCCGAGGGTGCAGCGTGGCCTCGCGAAGGCGCAGGGCTTGTCCTTAGGGTGGCTGGAGCTATTCCCATCGGGACAGTTAGCATTAAAAGGTTCCTCACTATAAACATCACGTAAGCGGAGGGTGATTTTGGCGCACAGATCCGAAGGGCCTGGCAATAAAGCACAGCCTGCATCTCTGCAGGCTTCTCCTGCAAGTCTCTCGCCACAGTGGTAGGTGCAGCTCATGCCGCCTTCCCTCCCCAGGCTGCGTATTTCGGTGATTACCCCTGTGTCTCGTTAATTCTCATTTTTCCCCCAACTCTTCCCCTGGATCTCCTGCCTCCCTCCGAATCCTGCGCGAGGGGGAGGAGGGCTGCAAGGATGCTGCAGTCTGGCTTGTGCTCGTGCCGTGACGTCTCCGCTCCGTTCTCATCCCATCTGCGCTTCCTCTCCGGAGGTGTTTCCCAGCGCTGCGCCGGGGCCGCTGCTCGAGCCCGCGCCGCGCTCTGCGCTCCGGCACCTCCCGAGGCTCCCGCGGGCAGGAGTGGTGCCCCCTTTTTTGTCTTTTCTCATTTCAGCCCCAGCTCTTTGTGATTTGCTTTTTTCCTGTTATGGTGCTGAATACTGCTAAATGCCAAGTGCCATCTCCCCCTGGGAGCTGTTACTCTGCTTGTTCTCTTGGCATTATTATGGCCTTATTTCATTTTATTTATCTCTTAGTTACACCTCAGATGCATCCTTCAGAGTCTTTTTCTCTTCAGATTCCTGCAGCATCTCTGAGTTGGAGGCTAAAACTCTGCCCTGGTCTCTCCTCTGCTTCTTGGACGTTATTTTCCTCGGCGTTGTTAATGCCCTGTTTCTTTAGAGGATCTGGTGGCTCCAGGAAGCGGGGGCTTCCCCTGCTCCTTCCTCCTTGTGTGAATACAACTACCAAAAATCCTCCAAAACGCCGTTTCGGATGAAATCAGGCCCGGGGTTTGCGACGGTTTACGCATTTACTGAACTTTACACAAAAATAGTGCCATTGAATGCAAAATTAAATACTGGATTGTGAAGGATTAAGGATCTAAAGGCTAATTCCGGTGAATTTGTGTCGCAACAACTTTGCTTGTGCAATGGGGTGGTGTTTTACCGAAGCTTGTTCTATCTGCTTATATCAGTAATGAATAAATTAGTTGAGCATAACTTGTTGTATCAGGAACTCTTTTTAATGCGGTACTGGATGCATTGACCCTTGTTTAACATAAGTTTGGTTCTCGAGTTTTAAAGCAGTTCAGGTCATTGTTTAATGTTTACATTTTTCAGTGTAAAATGAGTTTTATTTTTTCCTTGTTGTTTGCATGTACTTTTCAGTTACTTATTAAACACAGAAAATCTGAGGCTGTAGTGGGAAATGAAAAATAGCATTCTGTGCAGCCGAACTGTTGAAAACAGCGTCACCCCCCTGTAATTTGTAAAAGTGCAGAAGGAAAAGGGATCTGAATGAGGTAGCTTTACATTCCAGCTATAAATTAATTTATTGTGCAGGTGTAGTATATACCACTGTTTGAATTGAGTATTTAAGCAAGAAATAAAGGAAAGGAACGTGCATGAAAGCTGAAGATCTCTCAGTGTGGGGTGTATGCGAGTCAGAAGGACCCCGACTATTGGGCCTGACTTTGGTTATGCCGAGGTAGGTGGATCCCAAGGTAAGAAGTTGACACTTGCACTTCCCAAGGCCCGAGCGTCCTGGAAGAAATCAGAGTTCCTTTGGGATGCTGTGAGCGTGGGAGTGGCGGGGCCGCCGCCTGCGTCCTGCTCGCTGCTCTGCCTCCTCGGACGCCGGGGCTCTGCTGCTCAACGCTCCCTCCTTTCTTTGGACGCTCACTTTTGGCCGCTCGGGTGAGGACCGATGCTGTTCACTTGGTTCAGGGCAATTCAGAGGCGTGCGTAGGTTCCGGAGGTCAGCTTCTACATTCAGAAAATGAAGTGTGGACATTGTGGCTTGTTTTTTAATTTATGTGGCCTGGGTGAAAAGGCAGGGCTTGATTCTTCACGTGGCAGCTGTCAAAGGAGGGGAAAATGGGGCTGGCGTTACAAGGTGGGCTGGACGTCTGTGTTTCTGTGGCGGGTAGCCCGGTGCTGGCTCGGCGCGAGCGCCCTGAGAGCATCATGCTGTTAACTCCAAAGTGCTGCCGTCTCCGGGCTTGGCTCTGGGCAGTGAAAACAGCCCAAATAGCACATGGGGAAAGCTGGGGTGCCAAGGAACCCTGCTCGCTTTATATCCACGTTTAGCTTGGGACTCGTACTTCTTCAATGAGCAGAGGTGTGTTCGGAGCGGGGCTGACCGCGACGTCGCCGCGTGTCCCGGGCTGGGTGGCAGTTCCCACGGGGATCAGTGACCTGGTTCCAGTGTCTGGGATCTTCACCGAAGACAGGGCCTTGCTCTGGAGGGCAGTGCAGAGAGAACGGGGTGAGACACATCCTGGTGCCATGAGCTTGCAGCCCTGGGGACAAGAAACGGGTGCGCAGGAGCAGGGCGCTGGTTTTATCACATTGTGTAGATCCAAAGCTAAACCACTGAGATCCTAGTGACGTCTCCTTCTTCACATGTAGCAGCTGCCGGAGTCGCAGCTTGCGTTTCGTGTCA